GTCTTCATGAATCAGGGCGAGTGGGAGCTGCTCTACGTCCTCAGCCGCTTCCAGGAGTTCAGCGTCAAAAGCAGTGACAGCTACGCTGAGATGAAGTTCTATGTAAGGGTCTTCAGCCGCTGCGCCTCTCGGGGATGGGTCTTGCCACCGTCCCTGTCGATCGCCCGGCTGCTCTGTGCTGCAGTGCTCTCGCCTGCGGGCAGGAGGCTCCTGGTGCCGAGCCCTTCCTCTGGCTTGCCTTAGCGCGTCCTGCCATCCCCGCCTGCCTTGGTGGAGAGCCGCACCAGCTCAAGCCCTCATTTCAACCCTTCACTGAGCCTTTTCTGTCTCTCTGTCCCGCAGGTAGTCATCCGGAGACGCCCCCTCTTCTACACCGTCAGCCTGCTGCTCCCCAGCATCTTCCTGATGGTTATGGACATCGTGGGCTTCTACCTCCCTCCCAACAGTGGCGAGAGGGTCTCTTTCAAGATCACCCTCCTGCTAGGCTACTCGGTTTTCCTCATCATTGTGTCCGACACGCTGCCCGCTACTGCGGTCGGCACTCCCTTGATAGGTACGGCGGGGCAGACGCCAGCTCTGTGTCCCTGGAGAGGCGGGCAGGGAGACCTGGCTCAGGAGCACGCTCTGCGCACCGGCCTTCGCAGGCCACTCACCTTGCTGGCATCTCCACAGGCATCTACTTTGTGGTGTGCATGGCACTGCTCGTCATCAGCCTGACGGAGACCATCCTGATCGTGCGCCTGGTGCACAAGCAAGACCTGCAGCCCCACGTCCCCGACTGGGTGAGGCGCCTGCTACTGGAACGAGCCGCCGTCCTGCTCTGCATCCGGGACAGGAAGAAATTCAGCCAAAGCAGGACGCAGAGCTCCGACATCTCCAGGCAGGTGGAGAACAACGACAGCACAGGTAAGGGCTGAAAGGCAGAGAGATCCTGCGGGAACCGAAGGGGATCGGGTCCCGTTTAGCCATCTACATCCACACAGCCCCTTGTTTGCGTGGCAATTCGGATGCCTGGGCCACCCGCAGAAATCCCAGCTCCCCACCTAACCGGATCTTTCGCACTCGTCTCTCTC